CACTGATGTACACACACTCATCACTGATGTACACACACTCATCACTGATGTACACACACTCAGCGCCGCCACACACTCATCTTGGTACTTTTCTGGACCTTGAACTTGGTAGTTACCTTGCTGTCTATGGGAGGGTCAGAGAGCCCTCAGATTTCATCAAAAATATCTTAGTGTTCTGAAGATGAACGAAGTTCTTACGGGTTTTGAACAACACGAGGGTGAGTAATTAATGACAGAATTTTCATTTTTGGGTGAACTAACCCTTTAAATAAGTATGTATATACATATGGAATATACAGAATTTTCTGTGGATCCCTTCTCACTCCCTTGCAGCCCCTGACCCTGTGTTTGAAACCTCTGCTTTAATGCAAGTGTGTCAGTTGAGCTTCCTCAGAGATTTTCATATAGCAGTGCGTGTTTGGACCTGTTGAGCTGCGCGTTTAAAGAAGCCTGAACTTAAATAACCGGTCGGTTTTCCCTCTGAACACAGGTTGACCCCCTCCAGCCACAGAGGCATGGAGGAACGCCCGGCGTACGGGAGCATGCCGCGACTCAACGAGCAGCTCTCCCGTCACAGCAGCCTTCTCTGCCTCGACAGCCAGTCCAGACACGGCAGCGCCCGAGACCTGAGCAACGCACCGGCCGCTAGCATCACGCACGGATCCAGTATGAACTGCATGGTGGAGGGCGACGGGACAAGTGCGTAACCCAGAGACTAGCCTCCTCATACTGAAACAAGAGGCGTAGGAGAGTCCCTGTTCTGGAGCCGCTAATGGACAGACATGCGTTTTTGGCAGCAGCAGGGGAATCAGAAACTCAATGCATGTGTGTTGACAGAGCTGTCCTCAGGATTTGTCCCATTAGTGGCGCACCTGAGTAACAAGAGATGTTTTCTTTGATACTGTGACAATCTGCTGGATGAAGTTTACTGCATGTGATAAAGCAGCGCCAGGATGGGCCGCAGCTGTCCGATGGGAGATTTTTTCCCATTACATCCATCACACAACCCAGTTTAAAGAGTTCAAGGATCACTGATGCTTGAAGATTGATGACTGTCCCATTAGAGATCAGATTTCAATCCCTCTAAAGCCGAAGGATGGTTCAAAGAGAGGGAGGATCAGCAGTTCTGTGCCTCTGGCAAGCTATATTTAGTTTCTGGTGGTAGTTTGGTTGAGAAGGCATGGATAAATGACGTACCAGAATCCTCACCAACACCTGATGTGCTTTTGTTCGGCCGCTTGACGGCTGCCTACCTCATCACATCGTATCGCTCTGACCTGCATTTCCTTCCCACACTCGTGTCGCATTACAGAGCTAAAATGGGCTGCAAATGTTGACTTTCAGAACATCTTGCACGTCGATGCTTTTCCGCCCATGTGTACAGGAGTCTTACGCTTTGTAAATGGTGCTTCTTATGTTGCTTCATGAATATTTCAGCAGGCCATTTCTACATGCGCTCTACTTTGGCCAGAGCTCGTACACAAAACGCCTAGCATGGTGAATTTTCATGAATCGTGCTCTGCTTTACGACCCGCTTTAAGAGTGAAGTTGAGTGTTTTTGTTTACATGTTGGATGAGATTGGTACTCAGTGCCTAAACGTGTGACTTTGGACCTGAGCTTTGTAAAAGCTGTTTTTCTGATCGCTGTTACTGCTTCTGCTGTACCTTTGCCTTCGGTTTCCCCGAGTACACTTGATTTTCATGCTCGATTCTTCTGTCCACTTTTCTAATGAGGAATAATATAGCACTTTAACCGTGGCTATCTGTTGAATGTGTAGACATTAAATCCATTCATAGTGTCATGCAAGATTTCAAATAAAGCTTTTGTAAAAAAAAAAAAAAGTGTTTTGTAGTTCCCAATTTTATTGAAATAGTCCGATAATGAGCTTTCCATGTGAAAAGTGGTGTCCAAACCAATACAACAGTATTCCACCTTAAACACACTTGTGCAAAAAAAGAAATAAGAAAAAGGTCTACATTGCAGTATGGGGTAATTCATGTTCATGTCCCAACCATTCACGTCACACAGGTCAATAAAATACAATAAAAATACAACAAAACAATCTAGCCGTACAGTCCTTAAAACAAGTGATTACACCTATGACATGCAAATCTGTACACAGTCTTACAAAAATCAAAATCAAGAAGAAATTATATGATATGTAGCAATTTACCAACAAGGCAAACAAAATCCACATGTGAAATGCAAGTGTGAATGTGTCTTTTAACAAAAATCTCCAGTCATCATCTCTCATTCTAGTCCATTCTACCTACACTGACCAGTTTACACTGATCTAAGAAAACTAAGGCACCTCCCGCTCTAATATTGATCTATTCATTGCTAAGTAACAGTTCTAAAGATCAAACGACCGAAAGATCTGGACGTCTGTCATTTCTACCATCTCGATTCCTCCATTCCAACATATAATCATTGGTTCTGACATACCTGAGAACATTTCAAACAGGTTTCCTGTTCATGTTAATACCATAACCCTGGCAAATTGTTTCTAACCCGTTACAGCCTTATTAGAAAAAAACTACATTATGAATATTAATTTCTGTTTGGAAATAACCATGAGCATGGAATAGAGCAAATGCATAACTAAGGTCCAGAGTGACAACCGAGCTCTCGATTTTAAAACAATGCGCCGAGTTTGCTGGACTGAGTTTGCTCCACAGTGAAGGTTTCAATAGTGCTTGCATATAATGGAACATACTAAATGCTGCCAATACTAAATAATAATAAAACCACAGATACATATGCACAAACTTTCATCAATTCTGTCCTTGGGTGCGCTTCAATACTGAAAGGTCATTCGTTTTTCAGCATTCTTTAAAAGAATAATTCACTCAAAAAACTAAAAAAAATAAATCTGCCATTGTTCTAAACCCATATCATTTACTCCTTTTATCATTATATTGAGTAACAATGTTTTTAATTTCAGCAATTTTAATTTCACATAATATTTATGTGTGTGCACTGTGCACACACACACACACACACACACACACGTTGGTAAAGAGTGCTTTCAATATTCATAATTTCATAGCAGGTAAATTTCTCCATTTCACACTGATATGTGAAATACATATGGTACATTGCAACTACTAAAGAAAATGAATTAAAAAAATAAAATCAACAATAATAATATACAGAGCTGTGTAGATTACTTACAAATTGTAGTCAGTTACTGATTCCAAATTACATGACAAAAATTGTAGTTAGTAACGTAATCCAATACATTACACATTTTAGGTAATATAATCAGACTATTATAGATTACTTTTAGTCTAACTATACAGGACAAAGTAAACCATAAAGGTTTGCAACAACAAAGGTGAGTAAATGATGTACATTTAGATTTTTGAGTGAGCTAAACAACCTGGAATATTTTGGAATTCTGAACAGCGTCTTGTCTGCAGAATGTTTTTTTTTAGGGAAATCAATTTCTCAGTTTAACAAATCTGACATATGCTTTTCAAAAGCGAGCAGTAGTGCATGTGAATAATTCATAAACGCCAATTAGTGTATGAAATCGGACAGAGGGACAGCTAAAATTCACGCACTGACGAGATTCTGTTGGAGACGTAATGGCTTGGCTCTCTAATCTGAGGTATTTTGAGGGTCAGGGATGTTTGATAGTCTGACCCTGCACATTTAAAACATCACTACAGCAGCTTTACTGTACGCCCTCGATGAATTTGTATTAAACATCAAATGACCTAATCTCCAGCTGGTCCTCGCGGTCCCTGTTGAGTCATTATGAGCTGCAGGAAGTGTTAGAGGAAGAGGCAACAGCTAAATGCACCAGTGAGTTTGAAGCCCTTTGAATGCTTCAGCTGATGAGTTTAGTGTTTCTCCATGTCACTCAAACATGAAACGCTCTGAAACTAGTGGTCCAGGTTACACTACATTATATTCACATGTACACCTTAGGCAAAGTTTGGTTCTTGTGAGTTAGAAAACAAAACAAAACTTTAAACACTGAAAATAAAAACAAAATACTAAAAGAACAAAAATTAACAATAATAAAGAAAAACCCCTCTTTGGAAACAGCATTATTGCTTCGGTAACAGAACCATGAAGCACAGATGTAGGCAAGAATAACATGAACACGGCTGCAGTGAATCTCTGTTACATTCAGCACAACAGCTTATTTATGATCACGTGACTGTACGTGTTTGGAGTGTGAGTTTAATATGGATGCAGCGATATATACACATCTTGATTTCTCTAAATGCTAGATCTTGTACACAATGAAACACAAGGAGATTGCATTCATGTAAATCATTCTTAGAAAACATTCTTATATCAGTTTGTTAAATGTTAAATATTGTTTGTGGATTTAAAATTTCATTCAATGATGCACTAAATTTATAAACAATTTCACTGCTGCGCCTCGTAAATGTCATATTCAATTCAAAGATAAACAAGAATGGTTTTTTTTTTTACGAACTTCACTTTTGCTTTCTGTATCTCACATTCAGTGCAACAATTTCACTCAAGAATTAGTTCGTTCAAACAATTTTAAGGTTGCATTCAAATGACAATTTACGTATAAATGATTTATGAAAAATTTCACTGTGGCGAAATTTAATGGCGACCATGTGAATCTTACATTTAATGCAACAATTTATGCAAGAATGGTTTTACAAAATTTAACAAAGCAACAATTAAGCAAAAATTGTTATTGTATATGAATAATTCGCTGTGGTCATGTGTACCTTGCTTTCAGTTCAAGATTATACAAGATTTTATGAATGTGAATGTTTAATGCAACAATTTACGCATGGATGTTTTTATGAATGATTTCACTGCAAGCTTGTTAACGTCATATTCAATGGAAAATTGCACATAAGAATGGCTTTATGAAAAATGTACAAACAAATTATTCTCCTTGTGTTTCATGAATGAGGCCCAATACTTTTTTGTAGTGTTCCCTTGCAAATCTTGACAATTTCAGTGGAATTACGAAAAACTAGCATATCTTGACAAAATAATGCTTACGTTGACATAAAATGTCTGCATAATATACTAGAACCTTGACCCGGAAAATAAAAAGGAAAAAAGACTCTCAAAGCCAAGTCACACTTATTTAAAAACAGAATAGTGTTATGATTTCATTATATATTATACTCTACTTAAACTCTATTTACATTATTGAACTCAGAATCTATTCTTTAACTCTGACCTCTGACTGTGAAGGTCGGCATGGCACTGGAGGGTAGAGGCTGAGTTATACAGTAGTGCCACTCTATCGATTGGGGCTGAACTCAATTGAAGTGTTCATGTTTTATCACACGGATTGGAATGCCACAAACAGTTTTCCATGATCCCCGATGAATGTTTTCATGATCTTTAGTGTTATGCGTTTAAAGTAACATCCCCCCGGTCCATTAAGACTTTTGAATGCATATTTTTTTTCTTGTGTTAGATGAGGCACACTTGTTAATAAACACTGATAAATTCACGTTAAAGATCTGTGTTTGTCGTTTTCGACCCCGTCCACACCTGTGGCGGTAGGTGATAAGCTATACTCAGTGGTCTGTTCCCCCATCCATCACAGGAACAGGAAGTGTGGTGATGGGTCCACAAAAGGGATGTAAGGTGCATGTGTACAACAATCACACGTGTAATGCATATGCACACTAATACACGCAAACACACACACACACCTGGGCCCAGCGGCGCGTTTAGGAATATGACGTATAAGGAGTCGGCTCTCTGTCTCTCTCGGGGCCCCACCAGACATCAGAAGGTAGTGGTATAGGGGCTGAGCTCATGTCTCCCAGCCCAGGTGCTCGCTGCGCTCCAGAGACTGAGTCTTGCTCTTGTGTGGGGATGAAGGGCTCGGGGGGCTGCTCAGGTTGGAGCTGTTGGAGGCCGTGGAGTGACGTGGCGAGTCTGAATCCTAAAAGCAGAAGACGAGGGAAAAGTTAGTGACAAAACTTTGTTTTCTTTCTGTAGGCGTTATTTTGTATTTATTGTCCTTTCTTGTCTATTTTGATCAAACATCACACTCAGGCCAAAACTAATCAATAATTTATTTATAAGTATGTTAAATATAGATGTTCAAAATGACATTTTGTAAGGGAATGAATTGTCTGAATCACATGGAGTTAAAGAAGCTTGCATGGGGTCATGTGACCAGACACTTATGAATAATTAGAATAAAGAGTTCAAAAATTTGAAGTCAGTAATTATTATTTTTTTTTAATACTTTTATTTAGTAAGGGTGCATGAAATTTCATTGAAAGTGAGAGTAAAAATGTACAATGCTACAAAAATATATTTAGTTCAAATAAATTCTGTTGTTATTTTTCTATTCAAATTTTTCAGAATCCACAAAAATATTAAGCAGCACAACTGGTTTCAACATTAATAATAAGAAGAAATGTATAAGAAATAATAAGAAATGTATAATAAGAAATGCTTCTTGAGCACCAAATCAGCACATTAGAATGATTTCTGAAGGATCATGTGACACTGAAGACTGGAGTAATGATGCTGAAAATTCAGCTTTCATAGGAATAAATTACAATTTACAATATATTAAAATGGAAAACAGTTATTTTAAATTGTAATAATATTTCACAAAATTACTGTTTTTACTGTATGTTTGATCAAATAAATGCAGCATGAAATATTTATTTTAAAAAACATTAAGGACCTTAAGAAGAAAAACCTTAAGAAGAAAAGTGGATTCTGCATAATATGGCTGTATTGGTGCTTTAAAGATGAGTTTCAAGAGACTTCACTGAGATGGTGGTACCATGTTAATAGTCTCACTGGTACTGCTATAACCAGTTAAAACCTCTATAAACCTACACCTCTAAATTCATCCCTTTTAAAGAAACACCACTAAAAAAAAAAGAATAATCAACCTCACTAATTTCCTAGTTAGCTGTAGCTGTGTAATATTCAAGAACAAATGCTGTAACTGCCATATAAATATT